AGTCTCTGAGTGAGTCTCTGAGTGAGTGAGTCTCTGAGTGAGTGAGTGAGTCTGAGTGAGTGTGTGCGTGTGAGTCAGGTTCTCGAGTGAGGACCAGCATGCCCTGGCACAGAACGTCATCGTCACGGGAGGCAACGCTCAGAGTGAGTCTCTGAGTGAGTCTCTGAGTGAGTCTCTGAGTGAGTGAGTCTCTGAGTGAGTCTCTGAGTGAGTGAGTCTCTGAGTGAGTGAGTCTCTGAGTGAGTGAGTCTGAGTGAGTGAGTGTGTGCGTGTGAGTCAGGTTCTCGAGTGAGGACCAGCATGCCCTGGCACAGAACGTCATCGTCACGGGAGGCAACGCTCAGAGTGAGTCTCTGAGTGAGTCTCTGAGTGAGTGAGTCTCTGAGTGAGTGAGTCTCTGAGTGAGTGAGTCTCTGAGTGAGTGAGTCTCTGAGTGAGTCTCTGAGTGAGTGAGTCTGAGTGAGTCTGAGTGAGTGAGTGTGTGCGTGTGAGTCAGGTTCTCGAGTGAGGACCAGCATGCCCTGGCACAGAACGTCATCGTCACGGGAGGCAACGCTCAGAGTGAGTCTCTGAGTGAGTGAGTGAGTCTGAGTGAGTGAGTCTCTGAGTGAGTGAGTCTCTGAGTGAGTGAGTGTGTGCGTGTGAGTCAGGTTCTCGAGTGAGGACCAGCATGCCCTGGCACAGAACGTCATCGTCACGGGAGGCAACGCTCAGAGTGAGTCTCTGAGTGAGTGAGTGAGTCTCTGAGTGAGTGAGTCTCTGAGTGAGTGAGTCTCTGAGTGAGTCTATGAGTGAGTCTGAGTGAGTGAGTCTGAGTGAGTGTGTGCGTGTGAGTCAGGTTCTCGAGTGAGGACCAGCATGCCCTGGCACAGAACGTCATCGTCACGGGAGGCAACGCTCAGAGTGAGTCTCTGAGTGAGTGAGTGAGTCTCTGAGTGAGTGAGTCTCTGAGTGAGTGAGTCTCTGAGTGAGTGAGTCTCTGAGTGAGTGAGTCTCTGAGTGAGTGAGTCTGAGTGAGTGAGTGTGTGCGTGTGAGTCAGGTTCTCGAGTGAGGACCAGCATGCCCTGGCACAGAACGTCATCGTCACGGGAGGCAACGCTCAGAGTGAGTCTCTGAGTGAGTCTCTGAGTGAGTCTCTGAGTGAGTGAGTCTCTGAGTGAGTCTCTGAGTGAGTGAGTCTCTGAGTGAGTGAGTGTGTGCGTGTGAGTCAGGTTCTCGAGTGAGGACCAGCATGCCCTGGCACAGAACGTCATCGTCACGGGAGGCAACGCTCAGAGTGAGTCTCTGAGTGAGTCTCTGAGTGAGTCTCTGAGTGAGTGAGTCTCTGAGTGAGTGAGTCTCTGAGTGAGTCTCTGAGTGAGTGAGTGTGTGCGTGTGAGTCAGGTTCTCGAGTGAGGACCAGCATGCCCTGGCACAGAACGTCATCGTCACGGGAGGCAACGCTCAGAGTGAGTCTCTGAGTGAGTCTCTGAGTGAGTGAGTCTCTGAGTGAGTCTCTGAGTGAGTGAGTCTGAGTGAGTGAGTGTGTGCGTGTGAGTCAGGTTCTCGAGTGAGGACCAGCATGCCCTGGCACAGAACGTCATCGTCACGGGAGGCAACGCTCAGAGTGAGTCTCTGAGTGAGTCTCTGAGTGAGTGAGTCTCTGAGTGAGTGAGTCTCTGAGTGAGTGAGTCTCTGAGTGAGTGAGTCTCTGAGTGAGTCTCTGAGTGAGTGAGTCTCTGAGTGAGTGAGTGTGTGCGTGTGAGTCAGGTTCTCGAGTGAGGACCAGCATGCCCTGGCACAGAACGTCATCGTCACGGGAGGCAACGCTCAGAGTGAGTCTCTGAGTGAGTCTCTGAGTGAGTCTCTGAGTGAGTCTCTGAGTGAGTGAGTCTCTGAGTGAGTGAGTGTGTGCGTGTGAGTCAGGTTCTCGAGTGAGGACCAGCATGCCCTGGCACAGAACGTCATCGTCACGGGAGGCAACGCTCAGAGTGAGTCTCTGAGTGAGTCTCTGAGTGAGTCTCTGAGTGAGTGAGTCTCTGAGTGAGTGAGTGAGTCTCTGAGTGAGTCTCTGAGTGAGTGAGTCTCTGAGTGAGTGAGTCTCTGAGTGAGTGAGTGAGTGTGTGTGAGTCAGGTTCTCGAGTGAGGACCAGCATGCCCTGGCACAGAACGTCATCGTCACGGGAGGCAACGCTCAGAGTGAGTCTCTGAGTGAGTGAGTGAGTCTCTGAGTGAGTGAGTCTCTGAGTGAGTGAGTGTGTGCGTGTGAGTCAGGTTCTCGAGTGAGGACCAGCATGCCCTGGCACAGAACGTCATCGTCACGGGAGGCAACGCTCAGAGTGAGTCTCTGAGTGAGTGAGTGAGTCTCTGAGTGAGTGAGTCTCTGAGTGAGTGAGTGTGTGCGTGTGAGTCAGGTTCTCGAGTGAGGACCAGCATGCCCTGGCACAGAACGTCATCGTCACGGGAGGCAACGCTCAGAGTGAGTCTCTGAGTGAGTCTCTGAGTGAGTCTCTGAGTGAGTGAGTCTCTGAGTGAGTCTCTGAGTGAGTGAGTCTCTGAGTGAGTGAGTCTCTGAGTGAGTCTCTGAGTGAGTGAGTCTGAGTGAGTGAGTGAGTCTCTGAGTGAGTGTGCGTGTGAGTCAGGTTCTCGAGTGAGGACCAGCATGCCCTGGCACAGAACGTCATCGTCACGGGAGGCAACGCTCAGAGTGAGTCTCTGAGTGAGTCTCTGAGTGAGTGAGTCTCTGAGTGAGTCTCTGAGTGAGTGAGTCTCTGAGTGAGTGAGTCTCTGAGTGAGTGAGTCTCTGAGTGAGTGAGTCTCTGAGTGAGTCTCTGAGTGAGTGTGTGCGTGTGAGTCAGGTTCTCGAGTGAGGACCAGCATGCCCTGGCACAGAACGTCATCGTCACAGGAGGCAACGCTCAGAGTGAGTCTCTGAGTGAGTCTCTGAGTGAGTCTCTGAGTGAGTGTGTGCGTGTGAGTCAGGTTCTCGAGTGAGGACCAGCATGCCCTGGCACAGAACGTCATCGTCACGGGAGGCAACGCTCAGAGTGAGTCTCTGAGTGAGTCTCTGAGTGAGTCTCTGAGTGAGTGTGTGCGTGTGAGTCAGGTTCTCGAGTGAGGACCAGCATGCCCTGGCACAGAACGTCATCGTCACGGGAGGCAACGCTCAGAGTGAGTCTCTGAGTGAGTCTCTGAGTGAGTCTCTGAGTGAGTGTGTGCGTGTGAGTCAGGTTCTCGAGTGAGGACCAGCATGCCCTGGCACAGAACGTCATCGTCACGGGAGGCAACGCTCAGAGTGAGTCTCTGAGTGAGTCTCTGAGTGAGTCTCTGAGTGAGTGTGTGCGTGTGAGTCAGGTTCTCGAGTGAGGACCAGCATGCCCTGGCACAGAACGTCATCGTCACAGGAGGCAACGCTCAGAGTGAGTCTCTGAGTGAGTGAGTCTCTGAGTGAGTCCCTGAGTGAGTGAGTGAGTCTCTGAGTGAGTCTCTGAGTGAGTGAGTCTGAGTGAGTGAGTGTGTGCGTGTGAGTCAGGTTCTCGAGTGAGGACCAGCATGCCCTGGCACAGAACGTCATCGTCACGGGAGGCAACGCTCAGAGTGAGTCTCTGAGTGAGTCTCTGAGTGAGTCTCTGAGTGAGTCTCTGAGTGAGTGAGTCTCTGAGTGAGTGAGTCTCTGAGTGAGTGAGTCTGAGTGAGTGAGTGTGTGCGTGTGAGTCAGGTTCTCGAGTGAGGACCAGCATGCCCTGGCACAGAACGTCATCGTCACGGGAGGCAACGCTCAGAGTGAGTCTCTGAGTGAGTCTCTGAGTGAGTCTCTGAGTGAGTCTCTGAGTGAGTCTCTGAGTGAGTGAGTCTCTGAGTGAGTGAGTCTCTGAGTGAGTGAGTCTCTGAGTGAGTGAGTCTCTGAGTGAGTGAGTCTCTGAGTGAGTGAGTCTCTGAGTGAGTGAGTGAGTCTGAGTGAGTGTGTGCGTGTGAGTCAGGTTCTCGAGTGAGGACCAGCATGCCCTGGCACAGAACGTCATCGTCACAGGAGGCAACGCTCAGAGTGAGTCTCTGAGTGAGTGAGTCTCTGAGTGAGTGAGTCTCTGAGTGAGTGAGTCTCTGAGTGAGTGTGTGCGTGTGAGTCAGGTTCTCGAGTGAGGACCAGCATGCCCTGGCACAGAACGTCATCGTCACGGGAGGCAACGCTCAGAGTGAGTCTCTGAGTGAGTGAGTCTCTGAGTGAGTGAGTCTCTGAGTGAGTGTGTGCGTGTGAGTCAGGTTCTCGAGTGAGGACCAGCATGCCCTGGCACAGAACGTCATCGTCACGGGAGGCAACGCTCAGAGTGAGTCTCTGAGTGAGTGAGTCTCTGAGTGAGTGAGTCTCTGAGTGAGTGTGTGCGTGTGAGTCAGGTTCTCGAGTGAGGACCAGCATGCCCTGGCACAGAACGTCATCGTCACGGGAGGCAACGCTCAGAGTGAGTCTCTGAGTGAGTGAGTCTCTGAGTGAGTGAGTCTCTGAGTGAGTGAGTCTCTGAGTGAGTGAGTCTCTGAGTGAGTGAGTCTCTGAGTGAGTGAGTCTCTGAGTGAGTGAGTCTCTGAGTGAGTGAGTCTCTGAGTGAGTGAGTGTGTGCGTGTGAGTCAGGTTCTCGAGTGAGGACCAGCATGCCCTGGCACAGAACGTCATCGTCACGGGAGGCAACGCTCAGAGTGAGTCTCTGAGTGAGTGAGTCTCTGAGTGAGTCTCTGAGTGAGTGAGTCTCTGAGTGAGTCTCTGAGTGAGTGAGTCTCTGAGTGAGTGAGTCTCTGAGTGAGTGAGTGTGTGCGTGTGAGTCAGGTTCTCGAGTGAGGACCAGCATGCCCTGGCACAGAACGTCATCGTCACAGGAGGCAACGCTCAGAGTGAGTCTCTGAGTGAGTCTCTGAGTGAGTGAGTCTCTGAGTGAGTCTCTGAGTGAGTGAGTCTCTGAGTGAGTGAGTCTCTGAGTGAGTGAGTCTCTGAGTGAGTGAGTCTCTGAGTGAGTGTGTGCGTGTGAGTCAGGTTCTCGAGTGAGGACCAGCATGCCCTGGCACAGAACGTCATCGTCACGGGAGGCAACGCTCAGTACCCGGGACTCTGCGAGCGGCTCCAGCGGGAGATGGTCGCAACGCGGCCGTTCAACTCCACCTTCAGCGTGAGTCCACCCTAGAGTCCACCCTCCAGTCCACCCTCTAGTCCACCCACTAGTCCACCCTCTAGTCCACCCTCTAGTCCACCCTAGAGTCCACCCTCCAGTCCACCCTCTAGTCCACCCTAGAGTCTACCTTACAGTACACCCTCTAGTCCACCCTCCAGTCCCCCCACTAGTCCACCCTCCAGTCCACCCTCTAGTCCACCCTCCAGTCCACCCTATAGTCCACCATATAGTCAACCCTCCAGTCCACCCACTAGTCCACCCTCTAGTCCACCCTCGAGTCCACCCACTAGTCCACCCTAGAGTCCACCCTCTAGTCTATTCTAGAGTCCACCCACTAGTCCACCCTAGAGTCCAACCTATAGTCCACCCTAGAGTCAGCCCTATAGTCCACCATACAGTCCACCATATAGTCAACCCTATAGTCCATCATATAGTCCATCATATAGTCAACCCTCTAGTCCACCCTCTAGTCTATTCTAGTCCACCCACTACACAACCACTCATCCCACTCCTCCCCCCTCTCTCCCTCCCCCCTGTAGGTGAGAGTTGCCTCGGAGCCAGCGCTGAGCGCCTGGCTGGGAGCACGTGACTGGGCCGTGGCTCACGCAGTGTGTGGTGAGCGTGGTGGTGGTGGTGGTGAGCGTGGTGGTGGTGGCGGTGGTGAGCGTGGTGGTGGTGGTGGTGGTGAGCGTGGTGGTGGTGGCGGTGGTGAGCGTGGTGGTGGCGGTGGTGAGCGTGGTGGTGGCGGTGGTGAGCGTGGTGGTGGCGGCGGTGAGCGTGGTGGTGGCGGTGGTGAGGGGTGGATGACTCGGGCCGACTACGCGGAGAAGGGGAGCGACTATCTGGTGGAGCACTCTGCCTCCAACGTCTACGTGAAGCCCGCTAGGCCTGCTGCTGCTGCTGCTGCACTCACGTGATCACCCATCAGCATCACCATCACCACCATCACCACCATCATCATCATCACCATCATCACCATCATCACCACCATCATCATCACCATCATCACCACCATCATCAACGTCTACGTGAAGCCCGCTAGGCCTGCTGCTGCTGCTGCTGCACTCACGTGATCACCCATCAGCATCACCATCACCACCATCACCACCATCATCATCATCACCATCATCACCATCATCACCACCATCATCATCACCATCATCACCACCATCATCAACGTCTACGTGAAGCCCGCTAGGCCTGCTGCTGCTGCTGCTGCTGCACTCACGTGATCACCCATCAGCGTCATCATCACCATCATCACCACCATCACCATCACCACCATCACCACCACCATCATCATCACCATCATCACCATCATCACCATCATCACCACCATCACCATCACCACCATCACCACCATCATCATCATCACCATCATCACCATCATCACCACCATCATCATCACCATCATCATCACCATCATCATCACCATCATCATCACCACCATCACCACCATCATCACCATCATCACCACCATCACCATCACCACCATCACCACCATCACCATCACCACCATCACC